CTGAGAGGAGCTCGGTGATGATGCTGAGAGGAGCTCGGTGATGATGCTGAGAGGAGCTCGGTGATGATGCTGAGAGGAGCTCGGTGATGATGCTGTCTACTGTGTTTGAGGTGCGAGCTGTCAGCCCCCCTCAAAGCAATATGAGCCTCAATTAATCGTGTTTTCACTCGCGGATTTTTCTTCAGTTCTAAATAATGTAAGTTAACACATATTTCTGTTTAAGGCCTCAAACCTACTCATAATTTAAACCGCTCCACGGGAGAACTAGTTAGAAAGTCGGGTCGTTGTCCACTGAACGTTAGGAATTATTATGATATTCATGGCAGGCTGTACCTTCGGCCTAAATTGCACTATAGAAAAGCTCTTGTTGTTTAGGGCCCAAGTCTGAGTACCTCATGTGTGTCGTAATGAACGATGTGTTACTTGTTCTTAGTTACATTTAGGTGCTTTCAGCCGTGTAAATGCGCTTCTTCACGTGGCACCTAGTTTCCCGTCGCTGGCGCTCTGTTTATACGGCGTTTCTAACAGAGATCATTTTGTCGGTTGCCTCTCAAACCTGAGAAATACTTGATCGTGTCGGAGGGCGGAAAACAAAATAAAGTCAGCCTGTTTGGTGCAGCTGAAGGATTCTCTGTGTCCAGACACAACAGCGACGATCCACCGCTGTCTCTGCGTGAAGTAGAACCACGGGAATAGTCGTGCCAGCAGGTGTGACTTTGTTTTTCCTCCGTAAAATGACTCAATTATGTTCAGTTGTTGAACTAAGCCTTGGTTGTTAACGGCAAACAAATCTCCGTTTAGTGAGCATCAGCGAACCTGTGCTGTTTATGTTGGAAATGACTGAAAATCTACCAGTGCTGTAAATAAGCAGTTTTCCTTTTGTATTCATTTTTTTTGTTTGTTTTTTTTGGTGGTTTATCTTTTTCTATTAAAATCTATTAGTTTAAACTAAATGTTGCTCTGGTTTCTGGCTCCATACACACCCGTACACCTGCCCGTCATGAATCCTGTGCTGTCTTTTCCTAATGCTCCTGTCATCGTAACGCACCCACGTCACCAAGCAAAATGAATCCAGTGAAATTCCCAGTTGGGACACCCAGGGAATGTGGTAGAGCGGGACGCTGGCGGGAACTCTGTGCAGCTGACGTCTGGGCAGAAACGATGTCATCGAGTCACGTCGACATCGCGTTTCCCGCAGCCGAGTGTTTCAGGAGGCGGAGCCAGCATCGGGGTGGTGGAACAAAAATTAAACTTGCAGTGTCCTAAAAATATAAAAGTTACTTTTAGGAGTCAGTTCATGTGAAGATGAGACTTGTGAAACTCCTGCTGCTGTTGAATTGAGTGTGACACCTGTGATTCCTCTTATTTCTTTTAATGCTGTCATTTAGAAGAACCCCTCTGTGAACTAGAAGAGCTGTTCTCTGAATAACAGTCAGACCTCCACATGATTTGTGGCCTAAAGAAGTTTTGCGAGGTTCCTCTCCCCTTTAATCCAACCAGAGGTGGCTCCTACATCACAGAAGATCTATTGTCAGGCCTCACGTGTCGCACTGGTTTAAGTATCCGGTTGAACCACTTGTGACATCACTATTTAGTGTTAAACTGAACACACACACCTTTCAGTGCAGCAAAGCTTAAACTTCCAACACATAATATTCT